ATGTGAGAATGGCCCTGGGTCAGAGCTTCCCGAATGCCCAGACTCCCCGTAGGCCACACACCAACTTCTCTGCTGCTGTATCCTCAATGAAGCGGGAGGCATGGCCTGGCTTCCCAGTGCTAGTAACCCGGATCCCTGGGAGGAACAGAGGTTTCAGCCTGAGAGCTGGAGACACAGTGAATCCTACAGTGGGCCCAGGTCTTTTCCACATTCTAAACTCTGAGTCCAGTACAGGAACCTGGCCCTGGCAACAGCCAAGGGCTTAGAACCCTTAGAACCCAGGAAAGAAAGAGCTGGAGGCAAAAGTCTGGATGCCCCAGACATCAACTTCTAAAGCCCTAGAACTGTCTGAGCTGCCACCTGGCTAGAAGTGGCCCTTGCGGGGTGAGATGAAGCCATCTCTTAAGTAGCTGCCAGAAGTAACCACATGGAGCTGCATAGCGTTAGGAGAGGGTAGTGAGCCGGGCAGTGGTGGCACAGGCAGAGGCAGGCGGATCTCTGAGTTCGAGACCAGCCTGGTCTACAGAGCGAGTTCCAGGACAGGCTCCAAAGCTACAGAGAAACCCTGTCTCTAACCTGCCCCACAGAAAAAGAAAAGGGTGGTGCACAGGGGGCTTGCATGCCTTGGTCAGCTGACCAATGCAACGGCTTTAGCAAAGGAGGCAGGAGAAAGTGATTCCCACTCCAAGTCCATACTCACACCAAGGGCTCCGTTCACTATAAAAGACAGTGAAGGCATCAGTGGGGTTGGCCAGGCCTGAGGGAGAGAGCAGGTACACAGAGTAGAGTGACTCAGCTTCCCCTTGCAGCCTCCCTACGCCTAGGAGGCTGGCCAACCTGCTCACCCTCATCCAGGGCAAAGCCTGCCCGCAGAGCCTGGAACTCAGGCAGCTTCACGAACAGTTCCATCCCTTTGTGACCTCCAACCTCCTCATCTGTAAAAGTGTCAGGGATGTGATATGAGATGCCTCGCAACAAACATTTTCCTTCCCCTCTTCATAGTTTCCCCTCCCCAGGCCACTCCTACCGGGCACAAAGGTCAGGTGGATGGTTCTAGGAAAGCGGTGGCCCTCACTCTTCAGTCTTCTCACAGCCTCCAGGTACCTAAGGGAGCAGAGGCTAAGTGTGGTGTGCGGGGTAGAACAGCGCCAGCGGTGTGTAGGGTAGAGCAGCGCCAGCGATGTGCGGGGTAGAGCAGCACTGTGTGTGCAGGGTGTGCAGGGTAGAGCAGCACTGTGTGTGCAGGGTGTGCAGGGTAGAGCAGCACTGTGTGTGCAGGGTGTGCAGGGTAGAGCAGCACTGTGTGTGCAGGGTGTGCAAGGTAGAGCAGCACTGTGTGTGCAGGGTGTGCAGGGTAGAGGCAGCGCCAGCAGTGTTAAGGGTAGAGCAGCGCTAATGGTATGCAGGGTAGAAGAGTCTTGTGCCCTTGACCCTTCCCTGCCATGTATTTCAGGGACTCCAGAAAACCCCCTGCCCCTTTCTGGGCCTGTTTCCCCATCCATAAATGGTCATGGTAGTAATTTCTGCTTTATTTAGAAAGTCAAGATGATCCTTGTTTGGCTTGGGGGCTTTTCAGTCACATCTGTTTTCTTGCTGAGCCCAGCAGGGGACTGGGAATGGAGGATACTCACTGGATGCTGACACTTTTCATGTCCTGGGCGCCCCTGGCATAGATGTAGCCCTCGGAATCCTTGAAGGCTTCAAAGGGGTCATGATGCCAATGTTCCTGGAGGCAAAGGTGGGAAGAGGGGCCCGCCATAGAATTGAAATGGTGAGAAGGTTAGAAGAGGGCTAAAGAAAACAGCTAGTTGATTTCCATCCCCCATCAGTTTCTGGACTTACCCCCTCCCTAGCCAGAACCCTTACTGGACAAAGGCTGCTTGTATAGAGCCGTGCCATACGAAGGCTAAAAATTAGTGGTGGGCCGGGCAGTGGTGGCTCATGCCTTTAATCCCAGCACTCGGGAGGCAGAGGCAGGCAGATCTCTGTGAGTTCGAGACCAGCCTGGTCTACAAGAGCTAGTTCCAGGACAGGCTCCAAAGCTACAGAGAAAGAGAAACTGTCTCGAAAAACCAAAAATAAATAAATAAATAAAATAAAAGAATTAGTGGTGGATAAATCAGGCATAGTGGCACGCACCTTTAATCCCAGCACTCAGGAATCAGAGGCAGGAAGATCTCTGTGAGTTTGAGGCCAGCCTGGCCTACATAGCAAGTTCCAGGACAGTTAGAGCTACATAGTGAGATTCTGTTTCAGGGGTGGGGGTGGGGGAACAAAACCAAAAACCAAAACAACAAAAGTGGTGCAATCAGCACCATGGGTTTCTGGGGGACACCCTGAACTCTACACCACATCTGTCCTTAGGCCTGCTCATGCCCATCTATACATACCTTAAAGACAGGTACCACATCTGTATGGGAGTTTAGCAAGATGGAGGGGAGTGTAGGGTTGGTGCCCGGCCAGGTCAGCACAGTGATCACATAGCCAGGCACCACCTGTGAGGGTGAGGTCAGGAGGCAGGCAGTCAGCACCAGGTGACAAGGTGTCCCCGAGCCCACATTTCCACCCTGCTCAGGATCCCAGGCTCACCTCTACTTTCTGACAGCTCAGGCCCAGCTGGTGGGCTCTCTCTTCAAGGAAGGCAACGGCAGCCCCTGGGGAAACAGAGAGCCTTGGCACTGCTTTTGCTGGTACCCACCAGCCCAGGCAGCCCAGAGATGTACAGTTGCCTTCCCAACACAATTCCAAATCCCCAAAGACACCTGCATCCGTGTACCCAAGGAACACAACGTTCTTGGCCCTTAAGAGATCCTCTGTGAAGGTCAGATACTATCTTTCTTAAAGACAGAGACGTCAGAGGTGAAGAGACTCACCCAAAGTCTCTTGGCTTGCAAATCATAAATTTTACAACAGGATTTGGATCCATGCACAAGATTCCCAGCCACCAAGCCTAATTCCCTAAGGGCTGTGCCTTTTGTTCAGCTTTGGTAGACTGGGAATGAGGTGTCTCTTTGTGGTTGCTCCAGTCTCCCCACTCCACTCTGGCCCTTGAGGAGGGAGGGGAAGCCATTCTTTAACTAGCTGCCAGGAGTAAACATGTGAGCTGCACAGCACGGGGAAAGGATGGTACATAGTGGGACCGGTTGCCTTGGTCAGTCGATATAGGGATGGCTACAGAAAACGAGGCATCAGAAACGCAGAGTGGGGTCCCATTGGGTTAGGTGTCGAAAACAGTGTACAGCACCCTCCCAGCCCTTGAGGCCACATCACAGGCCTTAAGACCCTGCATTCTCACCATAGTCGGGATTGGGCTGCACAGTGCGGATGCGTAGGTATTGGCGGAAGAGCGTCACGGAGGGGTGCTCGGACTCGGGACCCTTGGTGGTCATGGCGCCGCGTGCTGGCTTGGGCAAAGTCAGTAGCTAATTACTCCTCTCTCCCGCTGGTAGCAGCTGGGCCCGGTGGCTGCACCTGCACTCTGGCCTTTCCAATGCTGCTCCCACCTCGGCTTGACTCCCCCATTCTGGGCTAGCTACTTTCTAAACGTTTCCTCATTTAATCCCCAAAAGAGTCCTAAGGAAGTAAGTTTGTGCTTTTAGTGCCCACTTGACAAAAGAGAAAGCTGAGGCTCAGAGAGGTTCAGCGACAGCTCAGGAAGTAGGAGAACTTGGTCTGAAAGAGACATTCATTGACTCCCTACACCCTCCTCAAAATATTCCTCCCAAAGGCCGGGCTTTTATGCCACGGAGCCCCACCTCAACCCCTCCCTAAGGTTTCCCAACCTTGCTCTCTCCAGGTTTCCGTCCAGTGCTCTCCTCTCTCAGGGCCCTCTCGGTACTCTGGCCAGGTCTCAGGGTCCACCGAGGTCGCTATCTCAAAACCGCCCGGGTACGCCCACCACGTGGCCAGGGCGGGGTGGAGGGGCGGAGACCGGAGACTGTAGGGGCCGTCCCAGTTCCTGTGGCGGAGTCGGCGCCGTTGTCCCTGCCTGGCTCTGCGTGGGGCCTGCACCGGGTAACTCTAAGCTTGGATCCGGGATCCACCCCCTGGGTCCTCCTCACTGCGGCCAGCTCCGCCCTCCCCACGCCCCGCCCTGGAGCGTGGACCGCAAGCTTAGGATCATCCCGCCCCCAAAGGACCCTCCTCCCGCTGCAGCCTCCGGATAGGACAAGAAAAGAGGGAGGGGCCTGGCCCTAAAAGTCGTCGCAGCGGCTTTGGGTATTCATCTGCTCTCTAGGTGTCGGGCTGCAAAGTGCATCCTGTCCCCTCTGTCCTCTCTCTGCCCTTTTCTTGCCTCCACTCCTCAGGGAGGCCCTCCTTGTGTAGTGAGGATTATTATTATTTTTTTTTTTTGCATCTGCTTTCCCCACCCCGTGAGTTCCAGGATGCCTATGTGCTCAGGGGGCTCTAACCCTGGCCAGGCAGCGTGGGCGTCTGGGCAAGGAAGGCGCCGTAAATGAAAGATAAATGCCTGGATGGGAGAATGGGTGGCTGTGAACGTGTTACGGTGATATAACCATAGGTGTGACGTTATGAGTCTGAGATGGTAGGGGTGACCCGCATCATGTGCAATCGTGTGTATCAGGTACAATTATGACACCTGCCAGTATGGGAGATTGGGAAAGAGCACCTTGGCTGACCCCACATTGAACCCTCAGCTCTTCTGCCTCCAGCAGAGAGAGAAACAGAGGTATGGCTGTTCCTGTGGCCACCACCAAGCTGTTTGTAACTGTAGCTGCCCACTTGTGCACCTAGCTGCTCTTTGTACTCCCAGCGAGTTCTGCCCTTTGTTCCAGAGGCTGAGCCAGTTTGGGGAGGGGGAAGGGTCAGAAGACTTCAACCCTGGGACCAAGGGAGCAGGCAGGATCAAAGAGGGGCCATCCCACCCACTTGGGGTTGAAGTCTCTGGCTGCTCACCCCTAACAAGCAAGCAATCGGGTTTGGTGGTTCAACAACACTGTTTTAATTCTTAAACCACATGCCATCTCCACCTTCTCTGCACTGCTCTCACGCAGTTGGGAAGTCATTTGTATTCCCGAAGCAATCCCTGTGGAACTGCAGTCACAGGAACAGTTGCCTTTAAGCACCCTTAGTCCTATGTTACCAGGTAATCCAACCCCACCATCATTTCTCCTGATACTGTCACCATGCCCATTTTAAAGAGGAGGAAACTAAGACACAGAGAAGGAAGCACAGATTATGAGGAAGTAGCACACTCTCGCTTAGACTCACAGGAGCACCGCCTCCAGCCTCCCCATCCATCCCAGAGCAGGCTCAGACTTGCCTCCCACTCCCAGCTTCCCCACACAAGTCAGGAAACACAATTTCACTCTCCAAGCCAGACAAAAGGGCTTTTTTTTTTTTTTAATGTGTCTGTGAAATTAAATCAAAAGTCCTGGCTGGGCTTGATCCTCTGTCCTCAATCCCACTCAGGGCCAGCCTCCCTGGGAGAGGAGAGAGAGGGTCTAGACCCTTCAAGGTCAGTTCTGGGAAGTGAGTCCATTCAAGGCAAATGGTCAAGGAATGCGAGAAGGGCGAGGTGGAAGGCTTTGGGGTTGTGGAGGTAGCAGGCATGGCCCGCGTTGTGCAGCTTCACCACAGAGTGGTTGGGCAGGTGGTGGAGCTGCTGCAGTGATATTCGCGCCAAGGTGTGGTCCAGTTCCCCGTACAGGATAAGAGTTGGGGTCTGCAGGGCGTAAGATCGGAAGTTGTTGGCCCTGGGTTTCGGTGAGGATCCAGCCCACAAGCTATTCCTTCAAGGAGCCTTGTCCCCACACTACCTGCAGGGGCCGACTCTCTAGGACCCCCCCCCCCCCCACGTGATACAAGCCAGGGACAGGGAGAGGGTGCCAGCATCTTTTTTGCAGCTTGCTAAGTACCTTCACAGCCCTGAATTGATCCCGTGTGTAATTCCGTGTGGAGGTAGGCGCGATGGGCACAAATCCACGTAGCTGGTGGTGTCTTCGCATCAAGAAGGGCAGGGCATAGCTGCCGCTCAGTGAGGGGCTCACCAATACAGCATTCTGCACCTCTAGATTCTGCAGTACCTGTTTCAGCAGCTCCGCTCGCCCTGCCTCTGTGTTCACCTCAGTTGAAGGCGCTGAGCTCCCAAAACCTGGGAACAGCAGCAGTTACTACCTGAGAGGAGCTAGGACGGTTGATTTTTGTTTCTACTTCTTTACTGCAATTTTGCTCCAGTCATGAATCACAATGTAAATATCTGATTTGCAGGATATCTAATATGCGACCCCTGGGAAAGGGTCATTCAACCCCCAAAGGGATCCTGACTCACAGGTTGAAAACTGCTGAGGCAGGAATTGCTCAGGACTTCCTGCCCATCACAGTGGGGGAAAGAGATGAGGACCAGTGGCACACAGCACATTCTACCCCAGCCATTTTCAGAAGCAAGTTTTCATACTAAAATTGGCCCATTAGAAATTCAGTTTTCCAGAAGGTGAGATGGCTCAGTGGGTAAAAGCACAAGCTGCACAACCCTGAATGACTTATATCTGATCCCTGGAACCCATGTGGTGAAAGTAGGAAACTGACTCCCATAAAGTTTCCTCCGACCTCCACACATGCACTTTGTCCTGTGTGTGTGTGCGCGCACACACACAGACATGTGCACGCACGCATACACATGTGTGCACAGACAAACACACACAATACCAACTAATCCACTAATAATAATGTTTTTAAAAAGAGAAACATCGGGCTGGAGAGATGGCTCAGTGGTTAAGAGCACTGACTGCTCTTCCAGAGGTACTGAGTTCAATTCCCAGCAACCACATGGTGGCTCACAGCCATCTATAATGAGATCTGGCATCCTCTTCTGGCGTGTGTGGTCATACATGGAAGGAATGCTGCCTACATAATAAATAAATAAATCCTTAAAAATAATAAATAAATAAATAAACGGAGAAACATCTTTCAGTCATTATATTGGCTAAACTTTTAAGCTAATGACAGCCAGTGTCAGGAAGGGGTAAGGGACACCTACATGACTGACTGAAGGATCAATCTATACAGTCTTTCTGAAAGGTAACATAGTATTTGTCAAAAAACTTAAAAGTGTATCCTGACTCATCAATTGTTCTTGATAGCAACTTTAGAGAAACTATTGCTCTTAAATGTTTCTTTTGATTGTTTGAGATAGGGCTTTTTTTCCCCCTGTAGCTTTGGAGCCTGTCCTGGAACTAGCTCTTGTAGACTAGGCTGTCCTCAGACTCACAGAGATCAGCCTGCCTCAAATGCTGGGATTAAAGGCATGAGCCACCACCATCCAGTGAGATAGGGTTTCTCTGTATAGCTTTGGATATCCTAGAACTTGCTCTTTAGACCAACCAGGCTGGCCTTAAACTTAGAGATTCACCTACCCCTGCTTCCTGAGAGCTGGAGCAATGCACCACCATGTCCAGCTCTCCTATACTTAAAGAAATATGTCCAAAGAGGCTTCAGTTAGATATTTGGGTATTTCAGGTAACACTGAAAAATTTAAATTCACCAGCTGAGGAATGAGAATACAAGCCTGCCCATGCCTCCCATGGCCCACACTTTAACAGTTTAAGCATTAACAGCAGAGGAGGGTTGTAGGACCTGGCTTGCCCCACAAAGTCATGGTGTAGCCAGGAAAATAAAGGTGTGTAGAACTTTAAGCTGAGACCTCTCAGCATTAGAGCTCCCCCCTCCCCTGGGAACCAAGGACCTAACAACTACACATGCATGTACTGGAATGTTGGGGATTTTCCATCTCCCTGAGTCCTTGTAAATGTTCTCCAAATAGAACTCAGTTATTAGAATAGGGGCAAGATAACTGTTGACTCAGTTCCTGATGTTTTGACTCAGTCCCTGGGAAGGGGGCAAAGTGACCCTCAGATGTTCCCTCTTACCTCACCTGATGTGGCAACCGCTCTCCAGCAAATTATTGGTAATAGCCCTTTGAATAAGCCAATCATAATGGTTTAAAGAACAACCCCCAGACTCCCCCCTTGTTTCTGTGGCTTTTTGCTTTAAAAGTATCCTGTACCAGCTATTTGGGGTCTTTCTGGCTTCTCGAATGCTGAAAGACCCTGTTGCGACAGAATCAATAAAAATCCTCATGCTTTTACATCAACTGTGGTATGAGAATGGTCTCTTGGGGCAATGCCACCTCGGTAATTGGACTCCAGTGTCCAACAGGTGTAAATATATTCATTAAGTAGGCAGGATGCTCATGCTCCCAACCCTCACATACAACCTGCATGTTGTCAGTCTCTTTCTGTGTCATGGTGTCTGTCTGTCTATCTGCCTCTCTCTCTAGGCAGGTTGAGCCCAGGGCAAGGACTCTACCATTGAATTCTATTTCCCTTTTCCCTTTTTATTTTGAGAAAGGGTCTCTACTAAGATGCCAGCTTACCCCTGAACTCGCTCTGTAGCCTAGGCAGGCCTTGAATCTGGGAGCCTCCTGCTGCAACCTCCTGAGATTCATGAAAGCGGGGCTGTCCCTCTCAGTCGTTCAGAGAGGGGAGAGAAGTGTTACTGGTTTCTAGGACTTCACTTTTTATTTGTCTTCATGTGTTTTTTTTTTTTTTTTTTTTTTTTTGAGACAGGGTTTATAACAGCCCTGACTATCCCGGAACTAGCTTTGTAGACCAGTCTGGCCTTGAACTCAGAGATCAGCCTGGCTCTGCCCCCTGAGTCCTGGGATTAAAGGCATGTGCCATTTTTCCTGGCAGGACTTCATGTTTTTTTTAAAAAAATATTGAGTTAGCTGGGTGAGGGCCTTTAATCCCAGCACTCAGGAGGCAGAGGAATGAGAATCTCTGTGAGTTCAAGGTCAGCCTGGTTACAAAGCAAGTTCCAAGGCAGCCAGGACTGTTACATAGAGAAACTCTGTTTCAAAACAAAAACAAAAAAACAAAATAATATTGATTTTATTTTTAATTTATATGTGTTTCTCTGCATGTAGGTTTGTGCACATGAGTTCAAGTTCCCTCAGAGTCCAGAAGAGGGCACTGCATCCCCTGGAGCTGGAGCTACAGGTTGTTGTGAGCTGCCTGGATTGGGTATTAGGAAACAGACTCAAGTCCTCGGCAAGAACAGCACATACTCAACTGCCAAGTCATCTCTCTCACCCCTGGGCCACCTCCTACCGCCACCCCCACTTTCATTTTTAGTTAGAAGAATGACAGCATGGGGCTGGAGGGACAGCTTAGTGGTTGAGCGCCTGCCTAGTATTCTCGAGGCCCTGAGTTCAATCCACAGTACTGGAAACAACAATAAACCCAGAGTATAGCACAGTCCATGGGTACAGTTCAAAACAAAATGAAACCAGGAGAGTGTGCTGAGGTCTCAGTCAGTGGGTAAAGGGGCTTGCTGTCGAGCCTGACAGATCTCTGGAATCCACAGGGTGGAAGAAGAGAAGCAACTCTCTCTCTCACGAGTTATCTATTCACTTCTGCAGGTGTGCCCCCCCCCCCCCCGCGAAAGCCACGAAAATTATATAATCACAAAAAGCACAAAAATCCTCCCAGCGGTTGCTTATGAACAAATCACCTTTCTGTTTCCTCTGTGCCATACAATAACGCACACTGCAGTTTTCAAGGCAAGGAATAAAAACAGGCTCTTATTGTGGTGGCTTCTTGTGACCTCCGACTTGTTTGTCCAGACACGGGGCCCACACGCCCCTGCTTTACCTTGGGCTCTGCTACCCGTCCAATGCTTCCTTCTGGTGACTGCGCCTTTGTTCCTGCTGCAGCCTGCTTCCTCTAAGCTTGGATGTGGGGGTACTCACCTGGAAGGTCAATGGCCACAGCCCGGTAGCCCCTCTTGGACAACAGCTGCAGTGTGCCCAGCTGCTCCCATGTGTGGGAATTAAATGCCTTTCCATGGAGAAACACGACTTCTGCCCTGCAGACATATGGGGGAAGATGAGGCATGGGACCTGGGCATCTTTCACTGCCCTCCAGGTTCCTGAGCCCCACGGGTTGGGCTGGGGTCCCTCCATTAAACCCTTGGGTACTCACCTGTGTGCCTGCTGGATAGGCAACGCCTCCCGGTAAAAGATTTGAGGGTTGCCTCGGGTGAGACCAGCCAGAACTGTGACATTGGGGCCTCTCCAGAGCTGGGAAGTCTTCTCAGAGGGGCCAGGCAGCCCCACATACAGGAGAAGCATAAGCAGCAGGCCTAGACCCAGCAGGACTGCCTGGTACCGGCTCATGAAGGCCTGTATCACACAGCCTAGAGGAGAAAAGAGAAGAGACAGGCTGAGGAAGACCTTTAGCCCTCCTCCCTTTCTAGATCTGGAAGAATAGCTCATACCCAGCTACTACTCAGGCCAGGGCAAAGGCCTGGCACACTCCACTCTGTGGAGAAGTGCATGAGATGGCCCTCTGGCACAAGCATGGTTTGTTTGTTTGTTTTTGTTTTTATTGCTTTTCAAGACAGGGTTTCTCTGTAGCTTTGGAGCCTGTCCTGGAATTTGTTCTTGTAGACCAGGCTAGTCTTGAACTCACAGAGATCCGCCTGCCTCTGCTTCCCAAGTGCTGGGATTAAAGGTGTGCACCACCACCTCCTGACTTTGGCACAGGCATGTTTAATGGCCACCACCATCGCTGTGGGAACTACACAGCTCTTCTGGCTGTGGCCTCCATGCTTGACTTTCTACACTCAGCACTCAGAGGCCCCAAGAAAACACAGGGAGCAGATATGACTACAGTTCTTTGGCACAAAGGAATCTAGGCTCACAGGTGAAATTCTCACCGCAGCAGAAGAGACATGGGGCCTGGGGCCAGTTTCCAAAATACCAGGCCATATGTGTTCTGGAAGAAAACATAGCACTGGCAGGAGATGGATGAACTGGAGACACAGTGGTGGATGGAGGAGTAGAGGCTGCTGAGGGCCAACGAGCACAGAGAGACCACTGAGCGCATGCCCGGAAATGATTCTTTCCTCACGATGACTAGAAAACTGCTAAAAACAGAATGCCTGCACAATGGGAGCGGATAGTTCAGGGTCACACCAGCCATTATGGATCACTTCACAGAGAAAGTTGGGGATAATGCTGAGGTCTGAGACATTGGGGGCTAGAAGGAGTGTAGCTGGCCTAGAAAAGGACCAACTTCCACCCCACTTCTGCCAAATGACCTGTTTCATGAACTCCTCCAGTATGGTGTCTTTGTTAGCCCGGAGGGGACCTCAAGCAGGGCAGGCAGGTGGTCTTGTTTTAGAATTCCCCTCTATCACTAGTTGATTTTGGTAACTTGGGATAAGCTCCTCCTGGCACCTGCCCAAGTTTCTTGTGCGGTTTACATAATACACTCCACCTAAGCAGGTGGGGATGGGATGTCCCCGTCATCATTTATTGGGCCTAAGATGAACATGCTTGTCTTGTTTCTGGGACTCTGAACTCAGTTTTTTCTTTCTTGGTTTTTTTTTTTTCTTCTGGGACAGGGTTTCTTTTAGCCCTGGCTGTCCTGAAACTCACTCTGTAGACCTGGCTGGTCTTGAACTTAAGAGATTCACTTGCATCTTCCTCCCAAGTGGTGTCACTAAAGGCATGCACCACCACCGCCTGGCTCTGGATGCATTTTTACTAAGTGTAAATGCAGTCTGTGGTAGGCCTAGGAGCAGAGCTATGGCCCGCACTGCGCCACACCCACCTCTGCTGACTCTGGAGGACTCTTCTGAAGATCTCACTCTCTAGCTCCGAAGTCAGGCAGTGTGGGGGCAGCAGCAGATCCTTCAGTGCTGATGGGAAGTCAGGAGCCAGGCGGAGAAAGAGCACACTCTTCTTCCTAACCTGGCGCAGCCAAGGATGTCTGCCTCCAACGTAGCTTTAGCTCAGGTTCCCACGAGGCGGAGCATCTGTTGAAGGCCCTCTCTTAGTGGTCCACCAGGGTCAAACCTGTGCTTCTTTTTAGGGTGAAGGGGTGGGGTTTTATTCGTTGCCATGGCAACCCAGGATGCCCAAGACTAGACAATGTAGGGGTTCTGATGCAGATTGCTCCACAGGTGGGGGAAGGGAGGAAAGTAAACAAACTGCTTGCTCTGGATACTAGAATACACAGATATTTACACACACTCACACAGACACAAGAGTCTTGCTTCCACAAACTTCAAGAAGCTAATCCCTGGGGGGTGGAGAGATGGCTCAGAGGTTAAGAGCACTGACTGCTCTTCAAGAGGTCATGAGTTCAATTTCCAGTGGTTCACAACCATATAATAATGAGATCTGGTGCCCTCTTCTGGTGTGCAGGCATACACGCAGGCAGAACATTGTATACATAATACCTTTAGAAAAGGGAAGCTATTCTGAAAATGTACAGCAGCCTCTGCACACACATTGGCACACACATGCAACTGTTGTGTTAACAGTCCCTTCAGAGGCCAAAACTGCAGTGGAGCTCCTTAAGCAGGAAGGCAAAAAAGAACTCCCTGAAACTGCCCAGATTCACTAGGCCCCTCCCTACTTGAGTAGACAATAAAGGATGAAACTCTTTCTCAGACCAAACAATGCTAAGCTGCCAAGAAGACTCTTTAGAGCTCAGGTGAACTGCCTGGAAAGGACCCGCTCCATCCTGTTGAGAGGCCTGCAGGCTGTGCAGGCTGTTCCAAATGTTTCCCAGTTTTTGTGAACTGTCTCCCATACTAGGGTGGGCTTTCTATAAATAACCCCTTATCCATATTTCTGTTAAGTAACCCCAATAAAAATCATTGGCTCAGTGAGTCTGTCATGGCTCCCTACCTGGGGTGAGTAGACAAGTATGTTTTCTCCCCAGGAAAAGTTTTGCCACACAACAGCCAGTTAGCAGGAAGGCAGAGAGACCAACACATGTATTTCAAAACCATATAGAAGACAGGCATGGTGACCTATGGCTTTAATCCCAGCACTCAGGAAACAGAGGCAGGAGGATCTCTGTGAGTTTGAGGCCAGCCTTGTTTACATAGGGAGTTCCAGATCAGCTAGGGTTACATAGAGAGACACCCTTTCAAAAAAGAAAAACAAAACAAAACAACCCATACACAGGCACGGAAGCTAGAGAGACCAAGGCAGGAGGATTATAAGTTGAGGTCAGCTGGGCTGTTTGGCAAGACAGTCTCAAAGCAAGCAAACAAACAAAACCAAACACCCACAGCACCACATGCATACCCTCCTCGTAGTATTCAAACACAAAATCACACCCAACCCTTAAACCACACATAAACACACAGTCCCAGGCCCAGAGTGCAGCACTCAAGGAGAGGGATCCAGGCAAATTTGAGAGCTAGGGCTTCATAGCAAGCCCTGTCACAAAGAACAACAAAAACCCAAAACAAAAAACCAGCAACAATGATAACAACAAAGACAGAAACAAGTGCCCAAACTCAGGAGTACTGGATGGTCAAGAACTACCTGGGCAATGTAGTGAGACCATGAACTAAAATAAATAAGGGACTCGGTGGGCAAAGGCACTTGCTGCCAAGCCTGACAATCCCTGGAACTCACACGCTGAAAGATGAACAGACGAAAGCAAGTTGTTCTCTGACCTCCTCCGTGTTCCCAAAGACCCAGGGAAAGACAAGCTACCTGGCAAGCGGGGAGAGGGGACAGGCATGGGAAGAAATGCGCCAGCAGAGGGACACACATAAACCTTCAGAAATACACAGTCAGATGCAGAGATAAATACAAAAAAGCATACATGCAAGCATTCAGACCAGTGAACACCCCACCCCCACCCCACCCAACCCTCGGCAAAGGAGAAGAGAAACACTTAAACCCAGACGGTCAAGAACACACGCAGACACTCGCGCGCGCACAGCGCAGGAACACTGCACACGTGTTGCCCAGCGCTTGCACCTTCCAATGGACTCTGCCCCAAGCGGTGGGGACAAGGACGGAGATCCCCGGACAACAAGCGGGCCGCCTTCCCGGGAGACACTCACCGCGCTAACAGGAGTGACGGTAACGGTGACGGTGACGGTGACGGTGACGAGGCGGGGCCCGGCCGAGGCTGAGCCAACAGCCAAACGGCCTGGGGAGTGCGGCACTGCCTCCGCCTTGGTAACCAGCGGGTCAGAGTCGGACTAACCCCTGAGCGCTTGCGCAGTACGCAGCTGCAGGCCTTGCCTGATTACACAAGGAATACTTGGGGCGGTGCCCCGAGGCCCCGAGGCCCGCCTCTCCAGGCCCAGATTTTAGGAATTGTTAAGGAAGGGCTTGAGGTTTGAGAGTCTGTGGAGAGCCACCGCTTCTTCATTTTTAAAATCGTTTTGTTTGCAAAATGAGGTTTAGGAAAGGACCCACCGCGTGGGGATGTCATAGGATGTAAGGACAGGTCACTCGGAACACCGAGGCTTCCTGGCACCGAGGTCTCCTAGTGTAAATGCCAGATGATGTTATTGTCATGCGGCAGTTCCAGGCTTCCGCCTAAACACTTTCTTTACTCGCCCCATTCCCCTGCCGGGTCAGAGCTTTAGTGGGGCCTCTGAGCTCCCGGTCTGCTCAGGACACCAACTATTGGTTGGCAGCCTGTGATCAACATCTGGTCTGCCCCATGTTCAGGCTTCTGTGTTACAACCAGGCCTCGGGGTAGGGACGCCATGAAGGGTGCAAAAGGTTCACTATTTGTTGATCTTTGCCAAGGCTGACATTAACCAGAATAGCATTAATCATTCTACAGGCTCGGAAAAGACTGCCATGCCACCTGGCTGAACTTTGGCAGAGCCTTACACGCTGATATGTAGGATGTCAGCTTCATGACAGGTGCACAGCTCGTCCTGGATTGTCCTGACTCGGGATGAGGGCGGTTTAGGGGGGCGGACAGCATGGATACCAGAAATAGCTTTCCCCCTCATAGAAGGCCACTTCCGTGTGGGGCAGATAGCTGAGAATTTCAAGACCTTCATCCTGGCTCTTGGGAGACATGGGGGTTGGGGCGGGGAAACAGGTTAGGTGGGAGAAGAACGAAGGGTTAAGGTGCGGACGAATCTAGTGGTAGTTTGTGACCGAAAGAGGGCGCCCGGAACCCTCAGGTCTGTCTCCACCTCCTGCCCGGCCCCTCTCCTACTTCTCTCCCCACCCGCCAACAGCACTCGCCCTTCTCCTGCCGAAGACCACGCAGATTTCCAGGTACCACTCTGCGCTCTCGACTCTTTCTTTGCGTCTTCACTCAGAACCCACCTGCCCCAAGTCTTCTCATCTCGGCTCTCCAGGTCACCTCTCTCTGGGCTGCCCCTCCTTCCCGTGCTTCCTTCAGACAGACCCAGGGATCCGGAATTGTGGGGTGCTGTGGACAGACAGACCACGGGTGACCGCAGCGTCAACCGGTTGGGCTCCAGCGGCCAGCGTGCTGAGAACCCCGCGTCCCTGGCAGTCAGAAACTTCCAAAGTCTTTGCCGACTGGTGCATGTGTTTCTGTCTCTGGAAAATGGGCCTTCATCCCAAACAAACTTGGTCTCACTCCTACCTGTATTTATTGCTAGCCCACCCACTCTACGATAGTGCTAGGCTAGATGGTGCTGATCAAGATAGTGTTAACCTCGACTGAGCACTTACTATGTGCCAGACATGTATCAAAGTTTTTTTTTAAATGCATAGCTTCATTTAATCCTATCCACTGTCTATGAACTAGTATTGAATAGTTCCATACATGTTCCAATACAATAGGAAATACCAGTTTTTCCTACCAGCAGATTCTCAGCTGCTGGTGTGACCCACCCAGATGCATAGCTTTTCTTTTTCTTTTTTTCTTTTGGTTTTTCAGAACAGAGTTTCTTTTGTGTAACGGCGCTGGCTGTCCTGGAACTCGCTTTGTAGATCAGGCTGGCCTAGAAGTCATAGAGATCCACTCACTTCTCTGCCTCCCAATTACTGGGATTAAAAGCGTGTGTCACCACACAAAGCTTTCTTCCTTCCTTCTTTTCTTCTTTCCTTTCTTTCTCTTTTTCCCCTGAGACACGGTTTCTCTGTGTAGCCCTGTCTATCCTGGAACTCACTATAGACCAGGGTGGCTTTGAGATTTGCCTGCCTCTGCTCCTGAGTGCTGGGACTAAAGGCTTGGGCCACCACTACCCAGTTCATATAGGTTTTTTTGTTTGTTTGTTTGTTTTTGTTTTTCGAGACAGGGCTTCTCTGTGTAACAGCTCTAGCTGTCTTGGAGTTAGCTCTGCTGGCCTCGAACTCACAGAGATCCACTTGCCTCTGCCTCCCGAGTGCTGGGATTAAAGGCATGTGTCACCACCACCTGACTAGTTTTTCTTAATATTTATTTATTTATCTATTTATTTATTATTGGGGTGGGGGTTGAGACAGGGTTTCACTGTGTAGCCCTACCTGTCCTGGAACTCCCAGAGATTCGCTGCCTCTGTTTCCCAGGTGCTGGGATTAAAGGCGTGTGCCACCATTGTCTGACAGCTTGTCTTAAATTCTTAAGTGACATTCCTAATTCTGCCATTGTTCAGTCAGTTGAAGCCCAATATCACATAATGGAGTGGGAGAGGCAGAAATAGTAGCTGCTTTTCCTGACCTTAATTCAGCTCCTAGAGACCTGGTGGTCACCTAACTGCTCCCTGCTGTCTCCCAGGCAGGGTGCTCTTTTACCCACTGCTCATCAGCCTGGCTTTGAACTGCAGGCACATCACCATCGAGCATGGCCAGTGTGGACCAGCATGAGGGCACCATCCAGGTGCAAGGCCAGGGCCTCTTCTTCAGAGAGGCTCGGCCTGGCAGTGGACAGGCTGCTCGCTTCTCTGTGCTGCTGTTACATGGTATCCGCTTCTCCTCTGAGACCTGGCAGAACCTGGGTACTCTTCGTAGGCTGGCTGAGGCTGGCTACAGGGCTGTGGCCATTGACCTACCAGGTACTTCTGGGGGTGGGCTCCTGGGCCAGGGTTGGGGAAAACTTAAGGACGGAGAAATGGAAGGATTTAGCTAGGCAGGGCCCTGAACTTGACTAGGCACACAGCGCATGGACCTTTGAACCTTTGTCTAGTCTTGCTTTAGTAGGGTTGATACACTGCCCAGTTGCTTCTCAGTTACCGAACCTGTGTCTCAATGTTTCTGGGCTTCACTTCCCTCATCTGTAGTGAAAGGTACCACACTCCTGCTGGTGACTATCCCTAGTGAGCACAGGATGAGGTTCTCGGTGTGAATGTATCGGCTAATACTTGAGGGCTAGTAACAGGTGCACAGGCTGCTGGAAGCACTATCAGTAAGTCCTCCAGAGCCTTGGGAAGCGAGGCAGGCCCTGATGGATGGCTAAGGACCTGGTCACTTACATGCAAACAGAGTCCTTGGGCACTGCAGAAGGCAGGAATAGCTTCCAGATTGCCTGTCACAACCTGGATCACCAGGCCCCGTCCATCTTAATCTCTAGTGAGGAATTCGAGGCATAGCTATCTGCAGGATCTAATCCCCTCACCGGCTAGGGCTGGTGGCTGATATGGTTTCAGGTTTAAAGGGCAGATCTCCAGTCTGGCCAGGCTTGCTTCCAACAGAGGTTGGGCTGAGCTTCAGGGTAAAGGTCTACAGCTAATGTTGTTAAAGGTGGGAACTGACTGGCAGGTCCCAGTGTAGAAGCATTCATCTCGGGTTCGATCCTCGGGGAGGGCTAGGTGCCTTCCAACAGTTAATTAATTTTCACAAGTTTAAATGGCAGGGACGTTCCTTATCCCTTTTCAACAGAGAGGGGAAACTGGGCAGCTGAGGAGGGCTGAGAGGCCTGACCTATGGTCATCTTTATAGTAAATGGAGACCCGGGACACAGAGCTAGCCTGATAGACTCCAGAGCTTGACTCTTTCTGGGACATTGTTAGTATGAGTGCAAACATGGAAAGAAATGTCCCATTCTTGCTACAAATATAATACACTGGGCTGTGGATATGAATGAATGCAGCCCACTGGTGTTGCACGAACCTGGGCACCCAGAGATCGACCTAGGAGCACATGCTGGAAGAAGGGATCCTTTTTATTCATTGCCCTTGTCTCTCCTACACCTGAATCCCTGCAGGTCTTGGCCATTCCAAAGAAGCAGCAGCCCCTGCCCCTATTGGGGAATTGGCCCCTGGCAGCTTCCTAGCAGCTGTGGTGGATGCCTTGGAGCTGGGACCCCCAGTTGTGATCAGTCCATCCTTAAGTGGAATGTATGCACTGCCCTTCCTCGTGGCCCCTGGGTCCCAGCTCCGGGGTTATGTCCCAGTGGCTCCCATCTGCACAGACAAAATCAGCGCTGCTGACTATGCCAGTGTTAAGGTATCTTGTGTGTGTGTGTTTAAAGCTGAGATGGCATGTTAGGAGCAAGTGGGAACCATCCCTGGGCCTTCCTCATCTGGTGGCTGGGTAACCAACGGGGTGGTTTCTGGGGAGATATGACCACCTAACTCCTTTTGTTTGGCTTGTTAGATTACTATGTATAAAATTGTGTAGTGGAGAAAGTACAAATGTCCCCACTCTCTGGACCAGCTTGTCTCCAGGTGGGCAGGAAGAGACTAAAGTGGTGATGAGGGCTGAAGCTGACCTTTAAAGGCTGGGGCTGGTGTGGCGAGCTCCTTGATTCTTTTTTTTTGTTTGTTTGTTTTTTTTTTTTTTGAGACAGGGTTTCTCTGTGGCTTTGGAGCCTGTCCTGGAACTAGCTCTGTAGACCAGGCTGGTCTCGAACTCACAGAGATCCGCCTGCCTCTGCCTCCTGAGTGCTGGGATTAAAGGTGTGCGCCACCACCGCCCGGCTCCTTGATTCATTCTCCCTTTCCTTCCGCTCAGACACCAGCTCTGATTGTATATGGAGACCAGGACCCCATGGGTTCCTCCAGCTTTCAACACCTGAAGCAGCTGCCCAACCACAGAGTGCTGGTCATGGAGGGGGCGGGGCATCCCTGTTACCTGGACAAGCCTGAGGAGTGGCACACAGGGCTGCTGGATTTCCTGCAGGGACTAGCATGAGACTCAGTCCTGCTGATAGGGGTGACAGCCTGCCCGCTCTGGGATCTCTTGCTGGCTTCTCCCGGTCTCACCTGCCACAGGTCTGTCTATTCTGTCTGTACATCTGTCTGGGCTCCTGTCACTTCTGCTTTTCTCTTGCAGCTGCAGATCGGATCAAGGAGGTAAATCAAGTGGGAAAAGCCTCGGATTTAGGGGAGAAACCTGATTGTGGGTAATCCATGAGCTTCTCCTTGCTTGGCTCTCACCGCTTAGCTTACGTTCCCGCCACCTCCTTCTTCAGCTGCAGGCCAGACATTCCCTTAACTTCCCTACCCTCTTAGGCCAAAGATAACAGACATATATGAATGCTTGTTTAGATTCATCCCACACCCAAACAGAACCCTTCCCTTGGGAGCACATGGATCTACGTGATTGGACTGATACCCACATTCCTTTTTTTTTTTTTTTTTGGAAGTTTCATTGTGTAGCCTTAGCTGTCCTGGAACTAGCTCTTGTAGACCAGGCTGTCCTCAAACTCACAGAGATCCGCCTGCCTCTGCCTCCCAAGTGCTGGGATTAAAGGTGTGCGCTGCCACCACCATTGTCTTGAGCAGCCTTGCATCACAGGCCTGCACAGGTACATGTGCAATCCCTGTGAAGGAAGGTGGGAACCTCTTTCCGAGCCAGTCTTTGTAAAAGATCCGCTTGCCAGATTAAAGATGAAGCCAGCCCTAGATTTCTCTCACCTACACTTTGTAACTGGTCCCAGGCCAGAATTGCTTCCTTCCTCAGAAGAGGTGCACCCTTCTGCCTTTCAAATATACCCGTTTTACTTTTCCCCTTCCTTTTGGGGGCTGCACAGCTCCCCAGGTCATCAAGCCTGACTCTTCTTAGACAAGCCTGTTTGGGGGTGGGGTGGGGAGACCGACTGTGTAGGTCCCTGAAATAAAGTATATGCTATTAGACCTCACATGCTTTTGCTGTCTCTGTCTCAGCCCGGGCCGCTCCTCCCCCTTCCCCTAGGGACTGCCACTGCGGGCTCCTCCCCCACTCTGGCGGGACCAGATGGTCCCCCTGCCCTTTGTCCACTAGGCCAGATGGAGGGAAAGGGAGATTGGATTCCCCTCCCCACCCACACACACCCAGGTGCCAAGAGATTCAGTTTAGGCGGGGAGGTGGAGGTCAGTGGGGCCCGCATGAGCCGATTACCGAAAGGAGGAGAATATCTGCTCTGAGATGGGGGAGGGGCGAGCTCAGTACACACACACCCCCCCCCGCCACACACACACTCACACACACACACACACACACTCCTATGCCTTTCCTAGTAAAGGATTTAATGGCGCTCTGTCCCTTACAACCCTAGCTCCAAAAGGAATTTGGCAGTAGACTTGGGGGATCACGGGACAGGGTGCTAAGGGCCACACCGCTCTCTCAGGCCCCTCCTCCAGTCGGGTAACCTGTCCTGGGCGGACTAGGGCCGGGCTGTGAGGAAGCTGTAGGTGGCCCGTCTTGTTGGGCTGGACCCCAGAGTGAAGGATGGCGAAGAAGCGAGAGCCCGGGCAGGGCGGAGGGCCGTGGGACAGAAGCTGGGAGGCGCGGCCCGGGCTGAGATGAAAGCTGCGGCGAGCTGGGCAGGAGCTCCGGGCGGGAAGGACGGGCCCAGTGAGAGCCACACTGGGAGGATCCTGAGGTCCTGGTGAGCCGCAGGAAAAGGGACCATGGCTCCCTCCCGGAAGCAGCGGCCGCTCGGGACGCTGGACCGCGCGGAGCGGAGCGGGGCGGGGCGGGGCGGGGCGGGCGGCTGCGGCACTGGGGCTGCTGGGGCGGGCCCGCCGCGCTGTAATCGGATCCGGGAGGGGGCGGGGCGGGGCCGGGCCAGGCGGGCCGGGGGGTGGGGGTGGGGGGGCGCGGAGCCGGGCTCCGGGCCGGCCCGGCTCCGCGCCTGTCAAACCCCTCATTGTTCGCAGCTGATGTCACTCGCAGTTGTGAGCGGCCGCCTTTCCCGGGGACAATGTGGGACTGAGCGGCCCAGCCGCCGCGCCGCCGCTGCCGCCGCCGCAGAACAACCCCAGCGAGGTAAGGCGAGGGCCGGGCGGGGCACCGCGGGCCATGAAGTTTGGGGGTTCGCTGGGGAGGGGGATCCGCTCCTGTGTGCACCGACCGCGATCCTGGGGGAACTGCGAGGAGCACGGTCCCTGTCCAGTTCGGCTGAGGCCTGCACAGGTGGGGGGCGTTGGTTTTCCAGGGGAACACCCCACTTCAGGGAGGGATTTCTTGGACCTTAGATACCAGGTTTGAGGCTCCCATCCTATTCGCTGTTTCTGTCCTTTGAGCTTGCTCTTCGTTCTGGACCTCATGGCCCAGGTTCGGGTTCTACTTCATCTCTCTTCTCATCTGCCATTCTCTGCAGCTCCTGGCTCACACACACCCCTTCCCATTCTCTGCAGTCCTTGGAGGAGCCAGACTCCAGGCCAAGGGGGGGGGGGGCGGGATGGAGAGCACAAAGTGGTCCCTCATTTCCTGTGGCTCTTCATCTCCAGCTCTTGGCCTGGGTACAGTGATGGGGCGGAGGTGAAGGGGCTCTGCTACTTCCTTCAACCTGGCCCTCATGCATGCCTGGCCAGGAGAGGGAGGTGCCCACCTCCTCACTCTCCTAAACCAGGCCCGCCATCTTGAGACCTGTGGCACCCAGGGCCCCGCCCCATCCTGGCACCCAAGGGAATGGTCTTCAAGGGGATGTACCATGGTCCACTCACATCGTTTCTCTCAGGATGTGTGGCTGTGGGTCCCCACCAAGCCCAGGATGGTTACCTTTTTTCTGGACCAACAAGGCATGTGTCCCCAGAGACCCTTCTTCCCCGTGTAAAGAGCTCTCAGACCCCTGGCATTGGTCAGGAGTTGGTCTCTGACTCAGGTTGTTCAGAGGGGTCACCCTGGTGGCCTCAGAGCCAGCACCTGGGGGGGTCTATTGTTTCTTCATTTGAGGATATTATCCCTCTAGGTCCTGGAACCCCCTCAACTTTCAAAGCACCCCATCCCAGCCCCCACCCCCTAGCCTTCATCAGCATGCAGGCTCAGGCTGCCCAAACACAAGGGGATTGTTCTCTTTGCATGCTCAGGGTGGGGGGCTGGGAGCGGGCGGCCCACACACCCTGGCAGGCCCAGGCCGCAGAAAGGCTGGCCTGCCCCACCCTATGGCCCCAGACAGGCTCTGTCCACCCTCCTACTCTCATCCCTGTTCTCCTCCAGCCTCTATCACCACTACTTAGCTCTTGATGGAAAGGGGTCTGGGCTGTCCAGGTGGACCCATGGGTTCTCCTTGCCTGCCTATCACATCCTATGCAGCCAGCTAAACAACTCCCTTCCTCCCTAGGCCTCAGGTTCGCCTCCTGATTGGTGAGGCTTTTCTAGTTGTGATTGGTTGAACCCACCTCAATGCTGTGAGACCCATCTCACACCAGGGCATTTCTACCCGCTCCTCTCCCTGCTGGGGGACCTGTTCTGGTCTCTCAGAACTCTCAAATTCCTCACTTCAGCAACATGCTGAGCGAGCCCCTAGGCCTGGGATGCTGGGCCGGAACTTGGAATTCTGATCAGGCATGTCCTGATTCTGCCATGTGCTTACAGCCCCAACACTCTGAGGTGTGATGATCTGCAGTGTTCCAGGGCCTGTGAGCCCTAACTCCCCGCTTCCCTGGGGCCAGATCCTGTTTCAGATTTCCTATTCTTCTGTAGCAGAAAGATAGGCTCAGAAATGCCCACTGGGCCTCTTTTGACTTGTAGCTGTGTCTTTGGGAAGCACAGAGGCCAGAGAAATTTCATTTAAATTGAAAGGTTGGAAGGCTCCATGGAGGAGGAGGCATTTGAGAAGACTTTTGCCAGAGAGTGAAGGGGATAAGTATTTCAAGCTGGGAGTGTCAGCCAGGCAGAGACTCTGTCGGAGGTTCTAGACCCATTTTGTGGACTGGGATGAGGCAGAGGTGCGACAGGAGAAGCTGGTAGGGGCTGGACCTTGGAGGCCTCCGTTGCTGGTGCATAGAGGTCAGGTTTTATCCCTTGGGCTCTGGGGATCCATGGATGGTTGGTAAATAGCAGAGTGAGCAAAGTCTTCGGCATGGAGAATGGCGATTGGAGAGCTTTTTCAACTTGGATAGACAGTAGAACTGAGCAGGGCCTGAGCCTGCCTTGGTTTCCCTCTGCCATGTCTTCATGTCTGCCATGTCTTGGGTGACTCTAGGGGGTACAGCATTCCTGCACCCACCAGTTTATCATCTTCTATGTTCCTCTTCCCTGGCACTGTACCAGACAGACTTGAATCAAGAAACCAGAGTCTACAACTGCTCCCCTAGTTTCCGTGTCTCCCCCCCCCCACCCCGTCTCCTCCCTCCTAACTACGGATGATTGGCCATCCTGGGAGGTTGAAAAGTTGAGATGGGTGCATGAGTCTGAGGATGCTGGGCAGTTTTGTGGAGACCAGGCTAACCAGCAAGGGTGAGCATGCCCAGAGTATGGGATGAACAAGGGAGCCAAGGAGGTCTCAAGGCCGCCAACCCCCTCACCAAGGCCTAGTGGCCACCCTCCTGCCACACCCTGCCATGCCCGATGCTTAGCCATTCCCCAGCTTCATTGGGTGTGGCCAGCCTGACTGTTTTCGGATTAAGGGTTGAAGGAGGCTACATAGGAGTGCTAAGGTGGGCAGGAGATATGAGGTGAAGTTGGAGACTGGATTCCCCCAGCCTTCTGCAGCCCAGGTGGGTTCACAGTCTCTAGTGGTCCAGACACACTGAACAGAGGGAATCCCCCGAGGGGCGGGACAGCCTGCTTGGTTCAACTGGCCCCAGAGCCCTCCCCTCCCCTGGATTGTTCTTACACTAGAACAAAGCCAGGGAGGACACTTGATCCCTGCATGTGGGGGGGGGGGCTGGCTAAGCCCCCCAGCCCTTTGATTGGACAGCTGTCATAGGAGAGAGACAGCTGGGGGGAGGGGCAGGAAGGGGGCAGCCTTTGCTTACACAGCTGTCCCCCCCCCCCCCAGCCCCTCCAGCCGGAGTGGCAGGAAGCCAGGTTCAGAAGGAGTAGGCACTTGGACTGGGGAGGGGGCCTGGGAAGCAGAAGAAGGAAGAACCAAGGTCAGAGGATTGGTCTGAGAGTGGGATGTTCTGCCAGGGAGCTCTGCTGACCAGAGGGGGCTGGGCACCCTCAGAGGTGAGCTGGAGGTCAGTGTGGCTGCCACGTGGGTGGCCTAGCAGAGACCTGGGGCCCCACCAGACTGAAGGGGCAAGATACTCCTTAAAACCCCAGTGCAAACAGGGCATCTGGTAATGAATGCCCAGTGGGGCTATTTATGCTTAGGACTCTGGGAGAAGGGCCTGGAGGAGGGTCAGGAGCCTCCTTCTTTCCAAAAGATAGGAAAAACTCAAGGGTCTCTCAGAACACAGAGATACCAGCAACTAACTCTCCCTTTCCCTGACTCCCCAAACAGTGCAGGTGGGTAAATCCAGATCCAGGCCAGGGAAGGCCAAGGTCACCTATTGAATTTGGGGCAGTGGGTCTCTGCTGCAGACCTAGGCATCTTCCTAGCAAGACTAACATTTTCGCCCACAGTCCGTTTTTTCCTGGGGTCACAAGAAGTGCTAGGAAGACTGCTTTCAGATCTCCCACAGTTTGTCACTCAATTAAGGGTCCACGGAATCCTGGAGCTTACGATCCTATGGCCCCAGATAAACCATCAGCGTTTTCCAAACAGGATGACTGTCCACTGGCCAGGCAGAGGCTCCCCAGGCCACTGCAATCTAGATCCCACTTCAGAAAAGGACTAAAAGACCAAGACCGGAACAGCTATAAATGGGCCCCAAATGGAGCCTGGTCCAGTCCTACAGGAGCTTGTTGGCTCCATTCTTCCTACTACACCCCTTCTTTCTGTGACCTTGGGCAGGTTACAGACCCTCCTGTGGTGCAAATTCATTTGCTCCTGTCCCTGATATGTCTGAGCACCCTCTCCAGCCTGGCTCTGGACTGAGCGCTGGGGACACAAGGAGAAGGTGGCAGCTTTGGCTCCTGTTCTAAGGGGCTCCCAGGCTTGGCTGTCCAGGGAGACAGAAACCATGCACGTCATCACAGGCGCTTTGATGGGGGAAGTGCAGGCAGCCAGGGGAATGTCTAGCAAGGGCAGCCAGCGCAGGGCTGGCCAGGATGCCCAAAGAACACAGGCCCCGAATCTATTGCTGGTCTCCACCCTGTGGCGAGTTCTATGGCTGAACTCAAATGGAAGAAGTGGACACCTGAGAAAAAACATGTGGGGACAATGCTGCCATCCTGACTGTCCGTATCCAAGGAGGAAAGGAGACTGCAGTTTGGTACAGTGGCTCACTCAGGTATCCAAGAGAAAGCGAGGTTGGGAACTCCCTAACCACTCCATACCCAAACTCTGGCTGGCACAAGACATTCAGAGGAAGGCTTTGGGCAGAGCTCTGAAACCTGGACCCTCATGTCCAGATAGGACAGAGGGCTGACAAAGTATTCCCATTGGGGACCACTTATCCTTTGTCCCAACACCCTTCTAGGCAGAAAGAATTCCTATGGTTAGTGATGTCTGGGTCCAGATTCTCTGTTGGCACCAGTTGGTTCCATTGTCCTCCTCGAGTTCTAGTCCCCAGTGAGCTCACCATCAAGGCTGGGCCATGGCGGGAGACAGCCACTGCTGAAGGATTTCTGAGGAGGATTAAGGTTCAGGATTAAGTTGAGGCATGAAAAGGGGTCGGGTGGGGAGGGTTGGCGGCTAAACTAATCCTGGTAGCTAATCTCAGGCTCGGCCTTGCTCCATCAGTTAATGGCCTTGACATTCCTACAGCCCACCAAATCCTTCTCTTATCCATTACCAGTCCCAGGGAGACAGATCGTCTCTGATGTGTATGGGAATAGAGCCCCGGTGCCATGTCTCTGGTACAGTAGTGTGCTCTAGGTGGGGTATGTGGCCAGTCTTCACACTTCGTGCCCCCTGCACACAGGACCATTCTGAGAACATAGGAAAGAGATCAGAGAGAGATGTAGAGAGAGCCTACCTTTTCCCCATGTCGTTGTTGAGCGGGTCATGCCTCATGTGGTCTGCAGTGACCTTCTCCTCTAATGGCCCCGAGTCATTGGGAACTCGCCTTATGGGCCTCCTGTCCCAAACCTTTGCTAGGCTTCAGCTTCCTCTTTGGCCTCTTCTCCACCATTGTTAAGCCAGCCAGCCCTGCCTCTGGAAGCAGGTACCTCATATTTAGGGTAAACTTCTCTTTCCTTTTTTGAAGCTGGGTCTCACTACATAGCCAAGGCTACCCTTGAATGAGAGCCTCCTGCCTTAGACTGGGTACATCTGAGTTTATAGGCCCGGGCTACTGTGCCTGGCCCAGAGTAAGGTTTTATCCTTGATTCCACAGTGGAGGCTCCATCTACGGGAATCTTCCCTTCCAAGTGAGGGGGGAAGCCGTCCTGTGGTTTCTCATAGCCGTCCAGACCTCTTCATTAAGTCCCTCTCCTCCCATTCTGGTGCCCAGACCTAGGACCACATATATTCTAGACAAGCATTCAACCAGTGAGCTCTAATTCCCTGACATCTGCACGTACTGGCTTTGTGAGAGCCTAGGCAGTTTGGATGCTCACCTTACTAGACCTGGATGGAGGTGGGTGGTCCTTGGACTTCCCACAGGGCAGGGAACCCTGATTGCTCTTTGGGCTGATGAGGGAGGGGGACTTGATTGGGGGAGGGGGAGGGAAATGGGAGGCGGTGGCGGGGAAGAGACAGAAATCTTTAATAAATAAAAAAAAGACTTGTGAGGAAGGGAAATTGGGTATCTGTCATAAGATTGTCTCATTTTTTTAAACTCATATATTTAGAGGATAGGATTTGGTAGTTATTTTCTGGGTTGGATGACTGAGGTCCAGAAGGCTTCAGTGACCAGGATTACTCTCCAGGAAGAAGCGCACAAATACAGTGGTCAGAAGGACATTTAGAACTCAAGACCCAGGCTATCTCCGTCCTCTTTGAGTTTGGCTGGCCTGGCTCTGCGGTCCCCTAGGTGGCTGTGGCCGGGTAACTAGGGCTCCTCTCAGACTCTCTTTTCTGCTTCCCTGTCCACAGCCAGCTGAGCCACAGCCACAGTGTGGACACACTCCCAGGCTACTGTGGCCCCAGCCCCGCCTGACAGAATGAGCAGTTCAGATGCGGGGCTGGAGGAGGAGCCAGAGCTTAGCATCACTCTCACGCTGCGGATGTTGATGCATGGGAAGGTGAGTGGGTGGGGCTGGCAGAGCCCTGAGGCAGCACATGTCTGGTCTCAGTGGGCTTCCCTTCCTGAGCCTGGGGCATTCATACCCATCTGAGTCCTCTCGTTATCTCTACAGGAAGTGGGAAGCATCATTGGGAAGGTAGGTGTCCAGTTCTCTGTATGTTCCCCCCAACTTGAGCCTCAGCCCTGGTTAAGGGGCTACCACTTAGGAATCTTGGTTTTTGTCTCCCACAGAAGGGAGAGACTGTAAAGAGAATCCGGGAGCAGGTAAAGATGGGGTCAGGGGAGGAGCCCAGGGCCCTGATGTTGAAGGGAAGGGAGGTGGCCATCCTTTCCTCTGGGATAACTGAGTGCCCAGAAGAATGCCAGTTTCTAGTGACTGGGGCAGGCAGACAGATCCCTGGCACCACAGTGGGGAGGATGCCTGCTGCCCGGCGCTTGTCCCACACCTGCAGAGCAGTGCCAGGATAACCATCTCTGAGGGCTCCTGCCCTGAGCGGATTACTACCATCACCGGCTCTACAGCCGCCGTCTTCCACGCTGTCTCCATGATTGCCTTCAAGCTGGATGAGGTTTGTGGGGTGGGAGTCTGGGGGTGGCTGCCTGTGAGAAACTTGACCCTGTCTCCAGATAGTGGCTATGTGGGAGGGAAGGTCAAGTCCAAGGCTGTGTTCTCTTGGAGGAGGTCTGGGAAGGAGGGTTTCTCCCTATCCTTCAGGGAAGTACTTGAGGGAGGGTGGGGGAGTAGCAGAGGCATGCATGGCCGACTCACTGTCTCTCTGCCCCAGGACCTTTGTGCTGCTCCTGCAAATGGCGGCAGTGTCTCCAGACCTCCGGTGACCTTGCGCCTTGTCATCCCTGCCAGCCAGTGTGGATCACTGATTGGGAAGGCAGGCACCAAAATCAAGGAGATCCGAGAGGTGAGCAGAGAGAGATCACCCATGGGCGTATGTCTTCTACCCATCAAGGGGAGAGGGAACTAGAGCTCCGGAGCTGCCCTTTCTCTTGGCTATTGGAGTCAACAGAAGTGGGTACTATTTTCCATTTGTAGACTACGGGAGCCCAGGTGCAGGTGGCAGGGGACCTGCTCCCCAATTCCACAGAGCGTGCTGTTACCGTGTCTGGGGTGCCTGATGCCATCATCCTGTGTGTGCGCCAGATATGTGCTGTTATTCTGGAGGTGCTTCCCAGAGTCGGGGGTGGGATGGGGACTGGGGGTGGGCAGCCAGGGAGAGGGCAGGAGAGGGCTCCAGGTCACCATCCAGACCTTATGGCTGTAACATCAGGTGGGGTGGGGCGAGCAGAGCTACAGCCATGGACTGATTATAAGCTTAAGGCACTCTGGGATACATTTTCATGGAAGCCTTGGGAATGCCCTAAGGCCATTGGATTCTTGGGGAGGCCTGATCTGACAAAGCTTTTCCATTTGTGTCTTCTAGTCCCCGCCCAAAGGAGCCACTATCCCATATCATCCAAGCCTCTCCCTAGGTACTGTCCTGCTCTCCGCCAACCAGGTGAGGGCAGCATCAGGAGAGGCTAGGAGCCTTACTGGAGACGGGGGATCAAGGTGGAGGAGGGAGTGGACTAGAAAATTGGGGGGTGTCTGCAGAGGGCACAGGGAGTGATCCGGCCAAACTATCTGGCCTGTCACAGCAGCTCCCTTTTCGACCGTTTTGCCCCACAGGGTTTCTCTGTCCAGGGTCAGTATGGAGCAGTGGCCCCTGCAGAGGTGAGTGACTCACAGCCTGAGACACCCCTTCCTGAATTGCCCCCTCTAACCTCTGACCCTGTTCTCTGGCTCAGGTCACCAAGCTCCAGCAGCTCTCAGGCCACGCAGTTCCCTTTGCCTCAGCCAGTGTGGTGCCAGGTAAGCAGTTCCGGCTAAAGGAGGTAGGAGGGGCTGGGCATCCCTGCAGTGGACGTGGGAGGCCCATAGAGAACAAGAACCACGCTCAGTCCTTCTCTTCTGCCTCAGGACTGGATCCCAGCACACAGACCAGCTCGCAGGAGTTCCTGGTTCCCAATGATGTGAGCAGAAGGTGGGGGGCTGGAGGGTGGTGAAGGGATCCAGGGGCCTAGACCTTGCTCAGGGTTAAATTCTGCCTTCCCTCTAGCTGATTGGCTGTGTGATCGGACGCCAGGGCAGCAAGATCAGCGAGATCCGGCAGATGTCAGGGGCACATATTAAGATTGGGAACCAAGCAGAGGGTGCTGGGGAGCGGCATGTGACCATCACTGGCTCACCTGTATCCATTGCCCTGGCTCAGTACCTCATCACTGCCTGGTGAGCATGGGGCAGGCGGTGGGAGAGCACGGGTGGGAAGGAAGGGATAACCTCCTCTCTGGACCAGTCCCCTGCTGCTCCTCAGCCCCTCTTTTTCCTGCTGTATTCTACCTATGTCATTCATGTGCCTCATTTATTACTCCTGTATCCACCCCTCCTGTCTCCCACTGTTGGTTTTTCCTGGGTCCTTCCTAGTTTTCTTCTTACCCCAAGTTATATCTGATTGTATTTTCTACCCTCCCTGCCTTTGTACTTTTGCTATTCTTGCCCGAAACCCCCCCACCCCATACCACTGTTCCCCTCCCATCTTTTGGCTAACTTCATGGCCCCTGTCTCATCCCCACCTTTCCTTTCACCTCCCCTCTGTGTCCCTCTCTCCAGTCTAGAGACGGCCAAGTCTACCTCTGGGGGGACACCTGGCTCAGCCCCCGCAGACCTGCCCACCCCTTTCTCGCCACCCCTGACGGCCCTGCCCACAGCTCCCCCAGGCCTGCTGGGCACACCTTATGCCATCTCCCTCTCCAACTTCATCGGCCTCAAGCCTGTGCCCTTCTTGGCTCTACCACCTGCTTCCCCAGGGCCACCGCCGGGCTTGGCGGCCTACACTGCCAAGATGGCAGCGGCCAATGGGAGCAAGAAAGCTGAACGGCAGAAATTCTCTCCCTACTGAGGCCGGCTGAGGCCCAGGCCGGGGCAGGCAGGACCGCCAGCAGGGGCTGCCTCCACGTCCTTCCTGCCCAAGGAGACTCTACCATGGGGTCTCAAGCGCCAGTAATGCCAGACGCATGGATGCACCCCCTACCCTGCTCCATCTTTGGAGTCCTCCTCAGAGAGGGGACAGTTTCTGGCCCTGGGTTCTAGGAGCTATGGCAGCCCCAGAGCAGGGGCTCCACCCCTTCAGACCTATGCTTGGATGCCGGGAATGGCCGGGGCCTCTCTAGTGCCCTGAGGTGGGAGGCTGCTCATGTCCTCCATCCCTTTGGGCCTTTGGCCTGCTGCCCCAGTGGGAACTGGAGGAGAGTGAGGGGTGGCTGGGGCCAAGCTTCTCTTCATCCCCTGCAGATTCTGCTGCTTCCACTGATACCCTTTTGACTGGAATAGACTGGCTGGGCTTGTCAGGGGGCAACCCAAAGAGAGGGCTCTGCCTATTGCCGGGGGAGTGGCCTGGGGCAGGGGCCCAGGTCTCAGCAGCAGATTCTCTGTACAGTTTTTTCAATCCCTGTTTTTGAATAAATATTCTCAGCGACCAGAAAGCCATGAAATAATACTGCTGTTGGGGTGACAAAACTTCCAGGGGGAGGGTGTAGCTGGAACCCCGAAGAACCTCAATCTGTGAATGCAGCCCCAGTTGATCCATAGCCCTTTCCACATGTCAGTTCTGGGGTGAAATCGCAGGGCCCTTTCAGGGGTCATGTGTTCAGTCTCCTGTCTTCAGCACCAAACCAGTCGGGCTGTTTGCTGAGCCGTCTGAGTAATGAGTTTGAGTCCGACTGTCAGACGTCCCCATGGCACAGATGGCGGGGATATCTTCTGAATGTCTCTCCACTGGTTCCTCCTGCTGTGGCTGTAACCCGGACCCTCATCCTTTGGCTGTGAGCTCTTAGGACCCTTCTCTCAGTGACCACGCCTGCATTTCTCCCCTCTGGGCCAGGGAGTACCCATGAATTTAAAAAGCATACACTGGAGGGGTCCTTAGGAGATGGTACAGGGTACAGATGGGAAAGCCGAGGCCCCAGGAAAGGAACACAGGTAGTATTGGGCTCAGAATCAGGTTCCTGAGAAACCTCACTAGACTAAGTTAAGTACCACCCTCTCTCTCTCGTTTCAGTCAGCAGTCCGGGCAGAGTACCTGCCACGACCTGTGCGGGGGGGGGGGGGGGGGGATGTGGCCCTTTGGTCCCACCTTCCTTCTCCAGTCCAGGAGAAATCTCTCAGGTGGCTTCTGGCACACTTGAGTGCTGTCCTGACAATTCTGGGGTCTGTTCTGGTGCCTCGGAAGGGCCCAGGGCAGGGTCCTTGCGAAGTCCCTGAAGGCGCTGAACGAGTGTCCGCGGGTGCCAGGCCTGCGGCATACGGACTTTCGGGGGCCTAGACAGTGCCCGGCGAGTGAGACGGCCCAGCGCCAAGCGCACCGGGCGCTGCAGCAGGCCATAGAGGAAGGGGTGAGCCGCAAAGGCGGAGTAGGCTACCCAGGTGACAGCCGCCTCGGCTGCTGCAGCGCGCGCCGCGGGTGCCAAGCATGCACAGCCATACGGCAGCCAGCAGGCTGCAAACTGGCCCAAGGCCAGGGCTGGGGCCAGGACCGCCTTGCCCCCAGGTAAACGTGGCCGGAGGGGTGGCAAGAAGGAGAGGCGGCTGTCTAGAGAGTCGGAGCGGTGCCGTGTCCCTCGCGGGGGCTGGAGGGCGGCGCGCCGCGCCACCAGGAAGATGCTACCGTAGGCGGCCAGCAGCAGCAGGGCAGGCAGCGCAAAGGCCAGCAGGGCCCAGAGCGGCCGGAAGGGCCCGAGTCCTCCGGCCAGGACGGAGCAGCGAGCCGGAGCCGGTGGTGGCGCGGGAGGTGGCCCGAGCAAGGAGAGCGCTCCCAGGAGCGCGGCCGCCGCCCACACCGCCGTGAGCACTAGCGCTGGCGCCGGGCGCGCGCCTGGCCGCAGCGGGTGCACTATGAGACGGTAGCGCGCCAAGCCGAGAGCAGCCACGCCGAGTGTGCAGGCGGGGAGCAGAGCCGCTGAGAGGAAGCGTGCCGCCCGGCATGATGAGGGGTCCAGGGGCACACTCCCCAGCCCGGGCGGCCCGGCCAGCAGGCCCAGAGGCATGATGGAGGCGGCTGCCAGCAGGTCCACAACGCATAGGTGCGCCAGGTAGAAGGCATCTTGCAGCCCGGGAGTGCGCAGCACCACCACGAGCAGCGTGCCATTGCCCAGCACGGCCCCCACCTCTACGAGAATCGCCAAGATCAACCCCACAGAGCCCACGAGTTCGGTGGCGCTTATTCCCGTGTTGTTAGCCATCTGAGCGCTTAGGCTTCTCTGGGGTTGCTATGGGGAGAGCGAAACGGAGCCTCCAGCTCCAGGAGTCCCATAACCTGTCCCATGCTCCTCAGGGCCTCTCACCTCGTAGGCTGCCCAGGAGGTGACTCCGACGCCCAAGCTGCGATCTTCTTCTGGGTTTTGGTAGGCCCTATGGGTGGATGCAAGGCTGAGCCTGGCTCGGCTTTCTCCCCCTTCCCTAGCCCAGCGCCAGCAACTCAGACTTTGCGGAGATGGTACCGGCTGTCACTCTGATGCTGTCCTTTGGAGAGACACAGCTAGTAAGGGAGGAGCAGGGCCTGGCGCCAGCCCCCTTGGTCCTAGCAGCTGCCAGCTGGAGACTGGAGGCTCTTCTGTGAAACTGCCCAAGGGTACAGCTTACTGAACCCAGACCCTTCCCTGCTTTGTGTTTGTGTTGGGGAGGGGGGGTGTTGCACATGGACGGACGGAGGACGGACGGACGGACGTGGAGGGTAGCTAGGTCAGGCAGTACTTTTCTCGAGGAATCAGTCAGGAAAACTTTTAGGTTTGCTTGGACCACCCTTCCCCCCCCCCCCCACCCGCCCAGGAGTTCTGAGGGAAGGAGAAAAAAATCTCAGGGCATGGCACAGAGTGGCTGCTCAGTCAGTTTACTTTTAAGTCTCACTTGAGGAGGAGGCCTGGGGGGGGGGGGGGGACAAAACACGGATGCTTGGTTGGTATATTGGTTGGTCTAGTACTTTCACTGCTGGCAAGCCAGCTCTCTTCTAAAAAGCACCCCCTGACACGTGCTTTAGGAAGCTACCTCTTCCCAGCCTCAGAACGTGCAGCTTGAGTAAACTCTCCACATGAAAGTCAGTCCTGCCAGGCAGTGTGGCGCACACCTTTAATCCCAGCACTCGGGAAGTAGAGGCAGGCGGATCTCTGTGTGTTCCAAGTCAGCCTGGTCTGAACAAAGTGAGTTCTGGGACAGCCTGGGCTGTTCACACAGAGAAAGCCTGTCTCGGAAAAACAAAACAAACACAAAACCTTTAGTCATGGCCAGTTAGAGTCATTTCTACTCCCCACTCCTCACACCCTCACCCCCGCCTGGTAGGTGGCTCAAGGAAAGCCCTGAACTCCAGTGGGGCACATGATCAGGTTACAATCATCCACAGCAAAAACTACCTAGACACGGAGAACCTATTAGGTATCTGAATGAAGTGCCTCCTTCCTTGAACCAGACTTCGACTAATGGGCATGTCAAACATCCTGTGTCCTGAACAGAAGTAGGACTCTTTTTTTTTTTTTTTTTTTTTTTTTGGTTTTTCGAGACAGAGTTTCTCTGTGGCTTTGGAGCCTGTCCTGGAACTAGCTCTGTAGACCAGGCTGGTCTCGAACTCACAGAGATCCGCCTACCTCTGCCTCCCGAGTGCTGGGATTAAAGGCGTGCGCCACCATCGTCCGGCTCAGAAGTAGGACTCTTGACTGTTCCCTAACTGGCTCCTTGCAGAATCTTAGCAAATTGCGCCTCACATGAGGGCTTCCCAGCTTTCTAGCTGTCCTTTCTCCTACACCCGGTCCAGTCCGCCGAGATCGTGGGAATCCATGCACATCACATCTCATCTCAATCTCATTGCGGTACCTCCCTGCCACTACTGCTGCCCCCCAGAGCGCCGCAGCCACCGCTGCTGCCCCCCAGAGCGCCGCAGCCACCGCTGCTGCTTCCCAGAGCGCCGCAGCCACTACTGCTGCCCCCCAGAGCGCCGCCGCCACCACTGCTGTCCCCCAGAGAGCCACAGCCACTACTGCTGTTCCCCCCCCCCCCCCCCCCCCCCCCCCCCCCCCCCCCCCCCCGCCCAGAGCACCGCAGCATCCTCCTAACTGGCCTGGCGTTTGCTTCTGCACCTCAAGCTGCTCCTCCGATTTGCCCTTAGGCTCCTTCCCCACTCTGCCTACCTCTACCTACCCTGTCCTCCCCAGGCTTCTGGAAGTATCCAGCCAATGGAAGTTAAATGAGCAGAAGACTGGAGAGTGGGAGGTAGGAGGAAGCCAGGGCGCTTCCCCTTTGGTGTGTAGCCTGGGCTTCTACCACCCTCTGTGGAAGACAGCTTCTCTCTCTGTCCCTTTGGCTTCCTTCATGGAGCCTTCTCTGTGCTCTTGTTCTTGCAAGATGACCTGACTGGATGAACCCATCACTGTCTCCTCCTGTTATCCCTCCAGCCTCCAGATGGTGGGTGGTGATGACTTCCTCGCCATCTCCTGTTTGATAGTTTCTGTTCTTTCTCTCTATCCAGTTCCCAGGGGCTCCATTATCTGGTGTAATTCCTGCCATGCTGGCTGGATTGTTCCAACTCATTCCCTACAGTCCACTCTTAGTAGTGGCTAAAATGGACCTGTTTAAAAATAAATCAGGTGGCATCATAAAAAAAACCTGTTTCTTTCCCTCAAAGTCCTACCTATCACTACCACTGTGCAGTGAGGTGGCCTCCACCGGCTGTGTTCTGCCCACCTCCCACCTCTCCTCCTCCTTACCCATCATGCTTCCAGCACAGCAGGCATGTGTGTGCCTCTCACCTGGCAAACTGCTCTCCAGGATCTGCTGGCCCATGCTTTACTGTGATTTATTTGTGTATTTACTATTTTTGAGGCAGGATCATCAGGTGCTAAGGATGACCTTAAGGTTTTTTTTTAAATTATTTTTATTTTATTTATTTTTTGTTTATTTTCAAAACAGGGTTTCTCTGTGTAATGTCCTGGAACTTGCTATGTAGACCAGGCTGACTTCAAACTCACTGAGAGCTGCCTGCCTCTGCGTCCTAAATGCTAGGACTAAAGGTTTATGCCACCACCACCCAGTGACCTTAAATTTCTAATCCTACTGCCTTCTTCCCTTGAGTGCTGGGATCTCAAGCATATGCTGCTGGATCTTATTTTCATAATTTATTTAATTTGGTTTCATGTGCATTGGTGTGAGAGTGTCAAATCCCCTGAAACTGGAGTTACAGTTGTGAGCTGCCATGTGGGTGCTGGGAATTGAACCCGGGTCCTCTGGAAGAACAGTCAGTGCTCTTAATCACTGGGTCTCTACAGCTCCACCTTCTATCTAATTTTTGTTCTGTCATTTACTTCCGGTTTCTACTAACAAGAGAGCATTCCAGCTTCGGCTCACATTAATCCTTTTACCCTGAGTTAGCGATCTTGCAGGCATTTCCTTTGCTGATATTCTGTTCCATATACGAACGTGGCTATTTGGAGCCTCTTTTACTGGGCCTTGTCTGCCTCTTGCTTGGACCAGTGCCTCCAAGGTCATCACAAGAACAAGGTCAGTATCACTTCAGTTCCAGCCTCTTACTGTGACTCATTCCATGATGGAACTGATAGGTCACACTTTCCATCACTCAGATGAGACATGGGCCAGAGGGGGGGGGGCATGTGCTTCAGAGCATACAGCTGGAGCGCTGCTCCCGGCCAGAGAGGGGGGCATGTGCTTCAGAGCATACAGCTGGAGCGCTGCTCCCGGCTTCCTAGAGCTCGGTCCACATTGACATCCCGTTCCATTCTTGGGCAGAGCTTGGATGTGGCCTTTGCCTCCTCTACGGGGTGAAGCTGAATCTTTGAGGTTTACAATCAGAGGGTGGGGAAAGCCAACTGCTCTCTCCTCTGCTCCCTGCCCTGGCAGGCGTGCCAGTGTGGGGCAACGTCTTGGGCCTCCACAGCTCAGGGATAGCTCAACAGGGTCCATGAGTATAGCAAAGAAGAAAAGGAGTCTAGAGAGGACAGTGAAGAGGTGGGAACTGTGGTGGGTTGGTGGGTGCATACTTCCTACCAAATCACTATATCTAATGAAAAAAAATAGATGTCAGGTGTGATGGGGTGCACGCCTTTAATCCCAGCACTCTGGAGACAGAGGCAAGAAAGTCTCTGTGAGCTCAAGGCCAGCCTGATGTACATATGACCATAGTGGCTACATAGTGAGACCCTGCATTAAAAAAACAGAATTCTTTGTAGCAAGTGTATCTGTCTGTGTAACTCTGCATAGGAGTGCAAAGAGGATAACCCACAGCTGAATGCAGTGGGCTCACTCCAGCAGATGAGCGGGAATGAAGAGAGGGACGGGAAGGGTCTCCCATTTGATTTATTATTATTGTGAGGATGTGGTGGGGTGCTGTGGCATACATGTGGAGGCCATACACCTTTATGTGGGTTCTGGGGCTCAAACTCAGGTTGCCAAGCTTCAAACTCTGCAGCTCACAACCACCTGTAACTCCAGTACCAGGGGATCTGGTGCCCTCTTCTGGTCCTGTGGGCACTAGGCACACAAGAGGAATGAGACACATGCAGGCAAGATACCCATACACATAAAATATAGTAAAAACATATTATATGAAACAACTGTCCTGTACTCTTCTGAATGTGAAAATGAGCTGGGTGTGATGACACACACCTGTAACCCCAGTGCTTGGAAGGATGAGGCAGGAGGATCAAGAGTTCAAGGGCAGCCTAGGCTACATAGCAAGACCCCCACCCCCATTTCCAGAAAAGTTAACGTTATAAATGGATAAATTGTTGAGGAACATCTTCTGATTAAAAGAGATATGACAGAAAGCAGCATACAACTCACAGGGGGGACCTTGACCTTGCTTTCTGGGACTTGCTCCCAGGCTAGGACAGGGATATCCAGGTCACAGGTGTTAATCTTTGAGGACTGAGAGCTGTGCCCTCTGACACAAACTCAGCTTGGTTTTAATGTCCAGAAGTGAGACAGACACACAGCGATGCTTGCTTTACCTGGCAATGTTTAAGCTAAGGAGACAGAGTCAGGTGGGTTTCCAAACGACAGTTTCTGAGTTGAGTTGGTGGTAAGGCTCATCTTTGGATGCTTAGTTATTAGAAGAGAGGGATGCTACAAGGATAGCCTTGAGTGGGTCGGAGGGGCGTGGCTGTTATTAGCTCACGTGGCACACACACTTCTTGGTGTTTGGCTGGAGCTGCCATGTGGAGGGCCACCATGGAGACAGAGGAAGCCTGTGGCCACTGTTTCATTGAACAAGCTGAGGCTAAGGGCTCATGCTTGATAAAGCTGCCTGTGAGGTTACAATGTAGCTCAGTGCTGGAACACTTTCTGTAAGGTGCCCAAGGCCTCCCTCAGTCCCCAACCACAAAAACTGAGATAAAGTATAAGAAAATCCCCAAGTGGCCTGGAGATGTAACTCAGTTGGCAGAGGGCATGAATCAGGTTAGAGGTGGGGCCCAACCCATTTTGGTCTGTGCCCCT